TTTATGTTCAGCCCGACTTCAATCAGATGTGCTATTCCACACATATATGTTCCCATTAGGAAATTTGCAGGGCGCCCTCTGGTGGACAAACTTTGCAACATTAACACTCATAACAAGGCTGAAGGGTGTTTCTTTCATTTCTTTTTTACTTTTTTAGTTATGGTTAATCAGCCATCACAAGAGACAATACCTATATATCAATAGCAAATATTGACAAATTAATATAAGGTCAATTGAAAATCAATATTTCATATAAGTAACTTTATGCTTCAACACAGCCTGAACTTTCTGAAGCTGCTTTCTTGTAATTTCTTTAAGTAGTCTTGAGGAATAGTTCTCCGGGCTTCTTCAAAGACATTCAAAGCTCTTCTTTGGATGTTTTTTCTGCCTGTAGATGATCCCACACTGCTTCAGTAACGTTGAGGTCCGAGCTCCGGGGAGACCAATCCATGACTTTGTGTTTTTCTATCAAGGAATGATTTTACTGCATTGACATCGTATTTGGGATCAATGTCATACCTAAAAAAAATTAAGCCAGCCTGTCCAGGGTGGACATTACATGCTGGATCAAAATCTGATAGTACTTATCTGCATTCCTAATTCCATAAGTTTTTCCAAGATATCCAACACTACTGCCTGAAATACAGCCCCAAACCAAGACACGGCCTCTGCCATGCTTTACAGATGGCTGTAGACACTGTTGTACCCCTCTCCTGCATTCCTCTGTACATGTTAATGTTGACTTGAACCTGAAGCTGATATCATCCAAGCCTGCTCCAGTTAGCACAGAGCAGAGGGCACAGCGCACTCTGGACAGGTCACCAGTCCATCACAGGGCTAACATGAAGAGAGAGACAACAAACCAGAAATCCGCTCTGCACCACATACTGGATCACCCCTGAGATGGAGTGAACTGTCCCTTTAAATATGCTCATTTTATCTCTGGGCATTTTTCTTTTTTTAAGGAATTTTTCAATTAACCAATGAAATCGTCATTAGAAATGTTAATAAAAAAGGGACACTTGGTGCTCTAACTCTGGGGTAGATGTCAGTGTTCAGGGTCAGTGAATGAGCAGCGCGGTGGTTCTTGTAAGACTTTAATGAAGGACACTTTAGCACGGCGGCTGTTAAAAGAGAAGCAGTGGACGGGATTTTAATCACCGACCTGCTGCCCAAACATGTCGACACAGAAAACGATACAGGCGGAGAGCGAGAGAGAAGACGGAGAGAGTGTGTTAACACTCACCACCACTCTGACGTGCTTGGACAAATCCCTGGAGCTCCTCTGGAGGAAATCTGAGAACGCAGCCTGCACACACACACAACACACACACACACAAACAGAGAGAATGGGGCCCAATCAAACAGAATTACAGTTCATTACATTTCCCTCATTAAAAAGACATAACTCCGTGACACGCTTCCGCTCCAACTCCCACCCATCACTTCTCCCTTCCAACTCACATCCTTCACAGAGAATTTGCTCATTCCAAATAGCTCCAAATTTAAAAATTCTTGTTTAAGAATTTTGATTTCAATCGGGGAGGTTCAGAAGCTAGAGCTGCACGAAGTTGGAAAAATGCTGGATTAATTAACAATAGATCAAAGATCAAAACAGTGTGCTATGACCTCGGCTCACTACAGATCAGTAAAATTACTGGATTACAGGAAAATTACCCAAAAATCATCTGGCGAAGGTATGCAGTCGATGTGAATGGCTGCATTAAAAATAGATAAGTCTGAAAAATGTTTTAATTCATGAAACATTTGCACAGATTTTACGTGCTGGTGTGTAAAGGCCCTCAGAGTGAACGCTAGACTGACTTCCTGCACCGTCAGGTGGCACAACCTGGTACTGCTCAAAAGTACAGCCTGGGTCTCGTTCAACTTGAAATCTGCTCAGTGTACAGAGGCTTGGGATATAAAGTCAAAGCAGATGTTTCTTTACATTCTGTAGCTTTTACTTTCTTTTTAAACACAGCTGAGATATTCTCTTTGCCTCCATGTGTATTTACTCTGAGTGATTTTTTTGCAGCACCTCATTCTCGCTTATTTAAACCAGACTTCTTCCTGCTCATCCTAACATGTGTCTGTGTGTCAGACAGACAGTGACTGGGAGGAAGAGTTTCGGCTCCAAAGGTTTGTGTGTCTGTGGATGTGTGAGCAGAAAGAAAGTCATCGGGGACACTCACTCCTGCATAGAACATCTTGTTGCGGAAGCGACTGTTAAACTTTTCTGGGTTGGCCTCTGGAAAGACACAATTAGAGAAGCAGAGAGAAAGAAGGAGAATACATTAAAGATGCGACAAAGACAGTGGGATTACAAATGTGAAAACTCACGCAGAGCGGTGCAGAGTAACACGGAGAGACTGACTCATTTGTGCATGCCTGAATGTGTGAATCTGATTCAGTATCCTTTGTAAATTTTTCATTCTGCTCATCTTTCTCTCTCTTTTTTTTTTAACAAAAGCAGAAAATGATCTATTAACTGGGGAGAGGAGGACCTAATGGAACATGAATAGAGTTGACACAAGGTGAAAATTAAAAAAAGACTGATATTAAAATAGCTTTCACACACCTCTGGACTCGTGGAACTCCAGGGTGACGTGCGCGTCGAAGCCAAGGCTGAAGTAGTTGTTGAACACGTTCAAGGGCAGCTGAGGATGCAGGAAAAACACTGAAGTGGGCCTCTTTGCATAAATATAATGTAATTTATTCACATAGACAGCTCACGTCCTCTTTGAGCATAAACTATGACCATTTAGCTACTGATACTCATCCAAATTCACACTTTTTGGTAAAGCCCAACTCTTTAAACCCACGGTATAGATATTAACAAGCAAAAACCTCAGAGGATGAAAAATAAAGCACCAAAACTCTGCAGTTCCTCAAACCCCCCGCTCGCATGTTAAAATCCTCTTCTTATCATGTTTAAAGTCTGCTACAAAAAACTGTTCTGGTCTTGACAGGTACAGAAGAGACACTTCAATAAAGTGCTATGATTGTAAGTTAAAGACAATAAAATATCTCATGAGATGAAAATTACTGATGCAAAAGAGGCTTCAAATGGTCCCTTTAAAGCCTGCCCTATCTTTATTCCAACAGTGTACCTAATATGGAATGCACACATCCTATCTTCCAGCACAAACTGACCTTCTGTGTGCCCTCCTCTGGCTGGGCGGAGCTCTTTTCTACTAAGAGGTTCCACCTGTCCAGCTGCACCACCGAACCGTCCTCCACATGACACAAAACCTTGGACACTGGTTCATCCGTGTAGCCCTGCAGGGAGTATAGCAAACACAAGACAGAGGCAAATTTAACTACCCAACATCTACACAGTCATCTGCGCAAAAGGGTTTTAATGTTACATTTAATATGCATCTGTGCAAAGTGAGGATAAATACACACTGGAGAACATCTAAACTATTTGAGTAAGTGAAAATAGGACAAAGATGACATGTTGTAACGTAAACGTTTAATAAAATGAGATTTTCTTTTTAATTGAATGCTAGCAATGAATATTAATAAAATGCTGGAAAGGTTGTGTAAAGGTTGTGTAAAGGTTGTGTAGGTTGCTACAAAATGACCTGGTGAAGCATCTGATAACTGTTTAGGTTAAATGGAAACTTAACTGGGTATAAAAAGAGGACCTCAGAGCTGCTCGATCTATCAGAGAGACCCAGCCTCTTTAATAAGAGGGCAGAATCCAGCATTCATGACAATATGGGAGAGCATTAGAGCATATGGAAGGGGTTGACCTTCATATCTGTAAGGACCCATCAGTGCTGAATGAAAAATTGTGGAGCCATTTTCAGGGAAGTGTTTTTTTTTTATATCATTTAGCTAAAAATAAAAATTTACAGTACGACACCAGGTATCAGCTACCTGCAATGCAGTCTACAGATCCCTCCCCATGTGCTTCAACCCCCACTCACACCCTGCTTCAGGTTACCTCAATAGGTCACAATGTCTCACATAGTGGTTTCCCCTTAACCCCTGGTGATGATTTAAGACCCATGTCTTTGTTCACACTTTGGCTCATGTGACAACTCTCATGATCAGTAGCAGGTCAACAAACAAACGGGAGAAGCCCCACTAGGGGTTAAATAGCTCTCAAGACTACTATGACCTGGATGACTGAGAACCTATACAAACATGATGGTTTAAAACCCACTGGGTCATTGGTAAACCATCTAGGGTTCAGTCTTAATTTCACTGACCAATAATTTTCACCGCAGTTTTTTCCCCCTCACAAAACATGAGAATAACTAAATGAAAACTAACGCCAAGGACGAAAACTGATGAAACATAGCGACACTTTTATCAACAACTATAAACAAAATATTCAGAGAGATAAGATCCAAACAGAACTAATTAAGTTGTGCAGAAAGGCGGGACGATTTAGGAAATGATCCAATCAGAATGAAGGTTAGACCTGACAAATGGCACCCGTACAACCAGCTCCCCTGTTTCTCATGAAAACGTCAACACTTGGAAGGATTTCAAAATAAGACTTTGTAAACCTTGTGGAGCACCTCTGCTCTGTAACGACATGACAAACCTTTTCACTTTAGTCAATGAATCAACTTTTGAATTTGGCTCCTATAATCTTAATAATAAAACTACAAGTCGAATAAAACTAAAAGTATTTAGATGTCTAAATTATGACTAAAACTAAATCAAATATTGCAGTAAAAATTAATGCTGCTAGAGTTTGGTTAACACCATGTAAGAGTAACTTCTAGTAAAAAAAATAGTAATAATAATAATAACAGCAAATAATTACTTTTGTTGTGATGAATGTTTGAAAAAGTCAGCGGGATGTTGTAAGAACTGTCAGTTCTGGAGGATTTGTTAGCTGTTTGTAAATCAGCCTAAATGCTGTGATATACACACAGCTTTACTCATTGAGTTCAGGCAAATTGATTAAAACAAAGGAGTAGAAATTTTGAGGATCACATTTAAGGAATGTGCACAGCAGCTAAAAACAGACTGGGATGCAGAGAAGAACGAGAGAGAAAGTTGATAGTGGAAGACTGAAGAAGAGGCTAAGGCTGTTTCTTGTCGCTCCATTCCTCTTTCATCTCCTTGCTAACAAAAACACCACGCACAAGAAAAGACACTAAGTAATAAAAGAGAGCAGCAGACAGGAACAGCATGCGATGATTGGATTTCAGTGAGCGATGATTGAGGTTTCATTACTGCCACTATAACCATAACCTTTAAGAGCATCAAACACAACCACATGATGCACGTCCACGGATTTCACAATCTCCGCAGGTCGATCCCTCTCATGTACAGTTTTCTGTCTTCGTTTGCTTTTATTTTCTCCCTCCTTTAGGACAAATAAAAGAAACAAGACAAAAGACAACACACACACACACATATAAGGCGAAAACAATCTGATGGTAGTAGCGCTCATCAGCAGGGCCTCTTAGCTGCTGACACACACACAGTCAGGTTTCAACTTACATTAACTTAATTTAACCAAAACCTACACAATCCAAAACCTAACCTTTGACCCAACGTGTTATTAACACTCAAATCAAGTCATTTGCATGGAGGAAACGATCGTTTGTGTGTCTAAAACAAGTCCGCACCATTTATGTCCCCGCAATGTAAGTACTAACAAGGACACACACTCAGCAGGAGAGCTCACACTCAAACAGCAAGTCACAGGGACAGTCACACTCACGCAGCGAGAGGTGGAACAGATACAGCGGTGAGTAACACAACCGAGTGTCAGAGAGATGAGAGAGAGATCAGGACAGAAGAAGGAAAGAGACATAAGCAATATAAAATAGCAGGAAGAGGGAGAAATAAGGGTGAGAGAGAAAGGAAAGGGAAGGAAAGGAAAAACAAGAGATAGGAGAAAAGATGAGCAAAACAGAAGAGAAGAATGAAGGAGGAGAGGAAAAAGTGGAAAGAAATGGAAAGAAAGCTAATGCAAACTAAATGAGAAGAGAGCAAGATGATGAGGAAAGGTCCAGCAAATGGGGGGGGGGAAAATAAATGAAAAGGGAAGAAAATATGAGAAAAGTAGAGAATGGAAAGACAAGGACAATATAGAGGACAGGAAATAGATATATTTTATTTATCTTTCAATATAGACTGAAAGAAAAAGAGGAGAGAAGAAAGAAAGGAGCAAGAAGGAGAGGGAACAGCAGTAAAGGAAAGACAGCAGGATGAAGAAGAAAGGTCCAGAAAATGAAAGAAAAATTAAATGAAAACAAAAGAAGTTGGAGAAGTATGGAGAAAAGAGGAAAGGTAGGAAATGAAAAGCACAAAAGGGAAAGTCAAAGGAAGAAAAGAGGATGAAAGAGTGAGAACAAGGAATGGAGCAAGGAGAAGAGCAGTGAAGGCAAGGCAAGGCAAGGCAAGGCAAGGAGATGCACCAACAGTTAAAAAAAGGATAAGAAATGAGAAGTCAGAGGAATGGAGAGGAAATGGAAATAGACAAAGTGGATAAAATGCCTGCAGTCAGAAATACTTGATGAAATAGAGGACAAAAAGGATAGAGCAATTACACTAATTAATCACATGGCAGATAAGAATTTCCACTCAGGCCCGTCTTCGCTCCAAGCGTGTATCTCTGTACGTATCGGGAATGTTTTATCATTGCTTTCACTGCTGCTCCATCCGGAGCTGCTGAAGTCATTCGCGTGTCCTTGATTCATCGTTCAGCACGGTGCAGGGCTGAGACGGGACAGTTCATTACACTCAGTGAAACTGAACTACAAGGTCCATCCTTACTGTCACATATACTTCATGCTGTCATTTTACTGCAGCATGTCAGCCAGAAAATTGATTTTTGTAAAGACGTCTTATAAATTTACTAATACATTTATCCCAATTATCTGAAAAATGTGAAGAAAAATTAGTGACATATCAATTTTTTTCACTCTAACTTTTGATTCATACGTGAAATATTTGATGTATTATCCTCACTACAAGCCTACATAGCTGATCTGATGAAAAGTCTTATGGAAGAATGTGGGTGCTCGTAAAAGATCTGTTGCAGTGCTGTTATTGAAACGTGTGTCAAACTTCAAACTTTAGTGCTTCATCAGAGTTTTAGGAACAAGCTGCAGATTTTTGTCAGACTTTCTGAAAGTTTTGGGGGAGAGGAAGGTCAAAACCAACAGAGGAGGGCTTGCCTTTCATAATCCAACAAATGCCACACTTCCAGCTTTTGTAAGGCTATTTCTAGAAAAAGTTCCACCTTGACAACAGTACAATATGCTTTATGTTTGAGACTCCATACGAGTCTTTTACCATAAATTTAGCTTGTGTAAACTGTAAATTTTCAAGAGTGAAAAAGGTACATCTGAAAAATGTACATAATTGCACTATTTCCTCTAGACATCTTTAAAGTTACAGTGTGTAAAATCTCACCACTAGATGTCAGTAGATTGCAGATTGTGGTCAACTGAGTTGTGTTTTCTTACCCGAGAGGGTTTTTTTGTTTTGTTTTTTTGCTATTTGTAGGGCTGGTGGTCCACTGTTTAATTCGGCTGTCAATGCTGGATGATAATCAGCACTTGCAACAATATCAGGACATATATAAGCATGTTTATTCACATTTCTGTGGATAAACGTGCAGTAGTCGGCAGTAGTCGACTCCGGCAGTAGTCGGAGGAACCAAAATCTCTTAAAGTTGTAAAATGGTGGGGTTTCTGGCTTATTTTCAACAAATCTTGGTCATGTTTTTCCTGTGTTTTTCTTAATGAAATGAGTAAAGCTTTTCTTAATGAATAGAGAACTTTTTTGTATAAGTTTGGAATTTGTTTTGTTATTTTTAGCAGCTGTGTCTTCATGATATTTGCTTTGTGTTTGTTGTGCAATAGATGAGGATCTTTTACAGCTCACTGGGGAAAAAACTATTGTTCGGACCCCCTATGAGACAATAAACAATATAATAACAAAGAGATTTCAGAAGATTTGCAGCAATAAACTGCGGCTTATTATTTTGGTGTGTGAGTCTCAGTGAGCACAACTGGTCCACATATAATTGAAACGATGAGTCTGGGATACCTTACTTAAAGACGTCCATGTGTTTTTTTCTATTATTTCTGGAATGTGAAAACAAACAATGTATTTTACGCTTGAGGAAATGAAACCCCACTTTAAAAAAATGATGGAAATGGTTTGTTTTTTCTTACAGTCTTACAGTCTGATAATAATTTAATGGTCGGGCATTGTACAGCTACAAGCATTTCACCCCCATGTCATACTGTGTATGGTTGTGTGTGTGTGTGTGTGTGTGACAAATTAAATTTAAATTTGATTTTGAATTTTCCCCTGAGGGAAAACCAAACCCTTTCTGTTTCCTATGCATGAAAAACCGCGAGTGAACTGCCAACTCGACCTATGGATTTATAAACTCTGTACCTCAGTTTGTTCTGTACACTTAAACCTGCTCTGAATACAACACCCACTGCAGCTGTGTCACTGCTGTGATGTTTTGTTGTCAGAGGGTTGATTCTGTGTTGTGTTTAAAGTTGTTTAAACCTGCAGAAAATTTAAATTAAAAAGGAAACATAATTACAGGAAGCTGCTGTGATGTCACCAACAAGCATGTCATCTTAGTTGTGCTTTGAAGAGGTCAAACGGGCTTAAGGGTCAAGGGGGGAGATTATATGGAGGAAGGGAGCTCTTTTAGACATCCTGGAATGTGGGTGAGCCGTTTTGTAGCTCTCCGAGGTGGTGGGGAATAGAGAATTTATTTTTACTGCATATTAATATTTGAGCATACTCAACATGGCTATAAACCTGTCATGTTTAATCTGAAGAAGGAAATTTTCATCTCTCTCATGAAGTACGCAAATGTTCCCTGCTCTAAATCCCTTAAATATGTTTTTGTTTTTTATGCTGAAAGAGCTGTTGTTGCTCTTATTCTTCTTTTTCTTCATTAGATCTCAATCTCACCTCCAGGTGCAAAGAGTCTGCAGCCAGATTTACCTTTGTATCTAATTTATTTAGTCATGTTGTGCAAAACATTTGCACATAAACTCAGAGAGGGCACACCGCTGCGCCCTGCTGCTCTCCATCAACTCTGCAGCAGAAGTCAAGGCCTGGAACTCACCCCACCCCAGTTGAGCGTCCTGGCGAGGTCATTTCCTGTTCCCAGAGGAAGCACAGCGACCGGAGGCTGGGGATTCATCTGCAGCTCATCGAGAGCAGACAGGATCCAACCCACCTACAGCGAGACATGAAGGCAAAGTGTAAGTTGTAGAAATTTAAAATAGAAAATAGTGGCTATTAGAGATGTATAGTCACCGTGCCATCTCCTCCGCAGGCAAGGATCCTCAGATTTGGCACTTTGCGATACAACTCCAACCTAACAAAACAGAGAGGTAATATTATAGAATAAAATACTGCTGATTAGTGTTGAGTGGGTGTAATTGGTCCAGATTTTATGAAAATTGTTCACCTGTGAGCTTTGGATTTAAATAAAAGAGGAGTGAAAAGATGGCTTTCCCCCTCAGAGGTGGACTGAGATAAGGGTGATGTGAAATGAAGATTTAAAGTAGGTAATTGGTACTAAACTGTCAAGCTCAGGGTGATTTCAGCCTAACTGTGTAGGCTGTAATGAAACACCAGCACTCTCCCCAAGGGAAGATTACTCACGCCTCGCGCAGTCCACCCTGCGAAAGGTCGAAGACTTGACGAGGATTCAAGATCCACATAAACATCTGTAACACTTTGGCACCCTACAGAAAAAGCAGAAAAAAAATTCAGCTTCCTTCATGTTACAATATTTAAAAAGCTGCCACTAACAGCAAGCAAATAAAAAAAAAATCTGTGAAAATCTGAGAAATGAATCTCCAAATCTTAAACTAAACCCAGTGTTATGTTCTGAATATGTTGCTAAGTCTAAAAGATTATGGTAAGCAGTGGAGCCCTGAACTTTTACCTGACGGAGTTGCAGGTAAGATGCAAACATCTGCCTCAGCTGAATGAGCCTTTAACTTGTTTAACTCCCCAGTACAAATCTGCGTGTTGTCCATTTATCTGAGAGCTGTGCAGGTAATCTTCCGGTGGATTCACAGCTGTGTCCTACCTCCTGCATGCTCGCCTAAACAAAACGGAGTATTTCCTGCAGCTCCAACACTTCTGAAGCTAACTGTTTCCTGTTGTGTGATACATTTGTGAAACTTCTGAAGATGTTTCCGCCTGAATCTCCTGAAAATGTTTGGAGTTCATGTGTGAAAACAGCTCAGCTCAGTTCATCTGATAAACCGAATTTTTGTCTGAACCGACATCCTCACAATGAAAATTAATTATAGACAGGCCGAGGACAGACGAGGCGTCTCAAACAGATGAAAACAGAAGATTAAAGACATTTGCTCACCTGGTTGCCGCCGCTCTTTGGATTCACAAAAACCAAGATGGGCTTCATGAGGGGAGAGGGGAGAGGCTTCAGCATGAATGGACGCCATTTAGACTCCTAAGAGATCAATAAGATCAAAATATTAGAATGTTCACATAACATAAATATTAAAATCATGATCCATTCATTATGGTGCAAAGTTTGGGCATATGTGATGACTGCTGAGAAGTTTTAGCTTGATATATAAATTTTTGTATTTTATGAAAATCGGTCGGTCGATCCAGTTCCAGAAGGTGGAGCAGAAGCCCGCAATGATTTGAGATCAGATGACCCTAATAATCCAATAATAGACTGTATAGCAAAGATGGACATAGCTTCCTAGAGCTTGGTTTGATTTGGCAATTTTGGTGTTGTTCTTTTTTTCTTCTTTAAACTAAGCATGAAGAGTAAGGTGTGGACAATACCGACATGTCAATCACAGGTTAGCCATGCCCTCAGTTATATTCTACTTCCTCCTCCATATTTTTTGTAAATATTTTTTCATCATGCTCAAGTTAAGACTAATAAAAGAAAAATAACTAAGAAAACATTTAGTGTGTTTAAAATGGAAAGAAATAAGGTAACTTCTCCATATACTTCTACTCTATCTATTTTTTTTGCACAGTCAGCGCAGTCGCCCCCTGCTGGCCATCAGAATCCAGGCAGATTTAAAGCAAGAATTTTTTCATTTCATACCTAAATAAAGTCGATGTTTTATAAACACAGTTTGAAGTCAGCCGGCAACGACTTTTATTTAGTTTAATGGGTTTTTTTCACATGAAGGATAAACATGAGCTAAAAATGTATTATGACAGTGTAACTGATAATATCACTTACATCTAATCCCTTCTTGCTTGTCCTTCGTTTGAAAGATGTCCGCTTTTTTCTTCTGGCAGAGTTCTTTAGGGAGCTCTAAGGTACACATACACACGCAGAGTTCAGTGGTTAGTTCACTGTCACCACGTCCCCTGTGATGGTAATTAAAAGTGCAATGAAGCATGTGACGCGACAGAGATATACAGTATGTGTGTGCGTGTCTGTGTGTGATAACAGAGACACAATCCCAGAGTTCCCTCAGACAGACCAGACACGTGTCAGTTTGCATCTTATCATACCCCAAAAATCACACACACATTAGCACACACTGAGCTTGTGAAACGCCTTCTTTTAGAGTTTTAAATTTAGATCGACAAAGTCATTTCTCATTACTGTCACAAGATGACACCCAGTGAACTTTATCAACCAGCAGAGCGATTGAGGAGGGTGCTCGGCGAGGGTATGAGCATACCTGTGGTTTCCTGACTTTGATGATCCAGGACGGTGGTACTATGACTCCGGCGTGGGCCCCCAGTGAACACGGCTCCTCTATCTGGTGCAGCATGAAACATGTCACCTTGTTGTGGAACTGCAAGGAAAAAAAACCCAAAAAACACTCCTCAGGGTCGTGTCATGCGCTAAACTTGCAATCCAAACTATCACACATGTTGTGCCATTGTCCGTGTGTGGTGCTCTAACACAGCTGTTTATAAGAAAACCAAAACACCCTGAGTGCCAATATTTGCTTCTCTTATGCTACCTCAGTGGTGTGAAACATAAGGGTCGGGGGCAAGAACCGGCCCACCAAAGGCTCCAATTCGGTCCAAGGATGGCTTTGGAAAGTATGAAGGAAGGCAGAGATTTTGGACTTTTAATTGTATTTTCAGAAGTTTTACAGCATTTCCTACTGACATTGCCATTCATGCGACATCAGAGAATCTGATAAATAGATACACGTTTAAAAACAGAACTTCCTGGGTTTTTTTTGTTTTGGTTTGTTTTTTTTTACCTACAATAGAATTTTCAATATTTTTATGGAGGACCTGCAGTAAGTAATGAATAAATAAAAAGATAATAATTATAGCTGACAGATTTCTTCCATTAACTACAGCATCTACTGTTGAAATTGCACTTCTATTTTCCTATACTAAGATATGTGAAGGATTCAATATGTAGTTAAACTTCTTTACACTGACAGTAACGACAGTTTTACTGATCTGGCCCATATAAGGTCAAAGTGGGATATATGTGGCCCAAAATGTAAAATGAGTTTGATATCCCTGCTCTGTGTGACAGACATTAAATGGAGCTTTGCTTCAGTGATACTACCAGTCGTCTGGCTCCAGCCTTGAGACAGGTTATTGATCATTTATATACCCAAGGTTTGCTTTATTTTGTGGCTGTATTAGAAAATCAGCTGTAGAGACAGCAGGAAATAAAGGGAGCCACAGACATTAAATGGGTGCAATTACATTACTGAACCTATGACATATTCCCTTTTCTGGTAACATTTTGAATTTATGTAACTGTATACAACCATATGTAACCATATACAAAAATATTAAATAGGTTCAGTTACTCTATTGAGCCCATGACACATTTTAAATAATGCAACCACATTTTCAATAAACAAGGACGTGATGCATCATTTTCTTTAAGGTGCTTTCCTTCAGTGACACTAGCAGTCCTCCGGCTCCAGCCTCGAGACAGATTGGGTACATAAATGATTGATAATCTTTACTTTACTGTATGGCTACATTAGAAAATCAGCTGTAGAGACAGCAGGAAATGAGAGACTGGGGGGATTACAGATGTGTCAGTACAACCAGCCTATTCATGAGTGGGGTCTACATGACCTTGTTAATATGGAAATAATAATAACAAATGATGTCACTCTAATATATATTTGGAAATAGGTACAGAAACTTCCTGTAGTGCTTAAGTTTATATTTAGTCCACTTCAATGCACAATACAACTTGTATTTCCCCACTAATAACATCTTAGTGGGGTTAAATATCATATTTACTCGTGAATTAACGGACTTACGGCCTGTTTACACCACGAACAACTGATGGCGATGATTTCTTTACTGTGGAAGAACTTCTGCTGAAAACTCTGCAGAAACAAAGAGGCAGTCTGCATGAACAGGAACAACATCTGTGTGCAGCTGCATGTGTTTTTGAGTGTAAACTCACCTTTCCACACTGTCTACATTTCCCCTCTTGTCGTCGTCTGTGAACCCAGTGGTGTCTGAGGATGTTCTGCCGGCAAACACAGAAACACAATTTCTTTCACTTAACGCCTCAAACAAAAAGGCGATTCCTCCCTCACATTTATGCAGCTACACACTTACATCTCTCAGGGTTCGGGATCCTCCCTCTCTGAAAGTCGGCTTACATCGGAAGTTTATCTAGAAAAAGAGATAAGCTGTAGTTCCCATCTGGGGAGGTTGTTTTTCATAGCTACATTTTTACAGATGCTCCATAAATGCATCACATGCAGGCAATCATTAAGCTACTATTTTGAAAAGCTGACATCTATAATTATAATGATATGAATGTGTGCGTGTGTGTGTAGCTGTGTGTGTGTGTGTGTGTGTGTGTGTGTGTGTGTGTGTGTGTGTTATTATGCCTGTACAAAATTGGCAGATTAGGGTTTTAGTTTTCCCGAGAATCGCTCATTCAGACTAAAAATTAACACAAATCATCTGTAGCTACCGTTGGGAATTTGTTTTATTTATGATCACAAAAATTATAATTTTTTTCCAACTGCCTATTTGAGGGTTAAGACTTAGGGTTAGTTAGAATTACTGTTAGGATTTGGTATTTGACTGAGATGGCTAAACATAGGGGTGAAAGAGTTTGGAATATATTGTCAAGTGCCAAAAACTCATTTTAATTTTATTGTGCCAAATCACAACAGCATTTGCCTCAAGGGGCTTTAAATTGTAAGACCCTACAATAATACAGAGAAAACCTCAACAATCAGATCCCCAGTGAGCAAGCACTTGGTGACAGTGGGAAGGAAAAACTCCCTTTAAACAGGAAAAAACATCTGGCAGAACCAAGCTCAGGAAAGTGCAGGCATCTGCTGCGACTGGTTGGGGTGAGGAGAGGAAGCCAGGACAAAGGACACAAAACCAAGATCAGTGAAACTCTGATCCACGGACATAAAGACCTTTCAAAAATTATTAGTAAGCTACAGTAAACTTTATTACATCAGAGCATCTTTAACCACCTGAGAGCCCGAATCCTCACATCTCAACATTGCATTTAGGCTTTTCTGAACCTTATGCATCAATTAAATGGTTTATACTTTTAAACAATGGCGAATTATTGTTTTATCTCTTGTAAAGGTTCATGTGAGAATTTAGTAAGAGCCAATCAAAAGCCAAAATGGGAAACTTATTAGCCAGTCATGTTGCAAGTAAACAGCAGAGGTCCATGACAGTTTAAACTGTGTGCTGGAGAGCATACTGCCTTTTTAAGTACAGGGGTAGTGCTAGTACTAGTAGTAATAGTAAATAGTACTAGTAGCATTCTTACTAATTCATAATATGGACAAGTATTTCATATAATCAGTTCTCTGGAGAATGAGTAGAGACATATCACCACTCTGAATTGATCTGTTAATAAAGCAGTAATGTTGTCAGACTTCTACATGCACAGTAGAAGTATGTCTTGAAGGGGAAAAGGCTTTTTAACCTAATGTTCAGGCACAGTCATTAAACTTTACTCAGGTACTTTGCAGACATTTTTTATGACTCAGTGACCACTGAAGTTAAGTTGCGGCTCTCACGGCATTGATTTAAAAACAACCTTCATGTGCTTGTAACTGCCCAGAGGCTTTGTCAAGTGTAAGACTCATTTCAAGAAGGATTTCCGATTTCATGGAGTACTTCATGCAATAACCCTTTGGTGTGTAATACCTGTAAGATAAGCAGCACATTGGTTACTACAACCCTGAAAAACCCTGTGTATAACCTGGAGTTGTTTTTAGTCTCATGTGTGCTTGTGCTAATAATTAGTAAGGTATTTTGATTCTATATTCAGTTTCTTATATAACTAAATTTTATTTTAAATTTGACCAATTATTACTTTAATTATTACTTTTCATGTTTAATGTTTTGGCTGCTGTAGCTTTTGGGATAAATAAAATATATGTTTTCTTATCATGCCTAGGCTTCATTTAATTTACATAGGGAAAGAAAATAACAAATCTTATCAAAGGCATTTAAAGATCTTAGAAATAATGGAACAGCTATATATATTTAATATTATATTTATTTGAGTCTCAGAACCCAAGAGCATAAAACAGGGATCGAGGAGAAAATAATTAATTTTTATTGCTTCTTTACTTGAAAAAATCACCAGGTTACAAAAGAACTGTGCACATTTCCCATCATGCATTTATCTGCACACTCCACAGTGTTTAGCCTAAATGGGGTACAGAAGGCGTCAACAGAAAGACAAATTTTTAGGAGAAAAAAAGCTATGAAAAAAATGAAATGAAAAGTATGAACAATAAACTGTGTGTGTGTGTGTGTGTACTATGGTTACATATCTTTGTGAGGACAAACAAATTGGAAGTTTGCAATACTTGTGGGGATCAACAGCCCTTATGTGGATAAAATACCCATCCCTACAAGTTTGAAGGCATTTTAAGACTCAAAATGTGGTTTTAGTGTCAGGGTTACAATCATGGTTAGGGTTACCCTAACCCTAGGGAAAGCATTATTTCAATTAGATGTCACCACAAGGATATGAAAACATGACTGTGTGTGTGTGTGTGTGTGTGTGTTACCTTTTCTAGTTGCTCCATGCAGCCGGTGTGAACAACAATCTTACAGGCTGCACATTTCCTCCTGGGGGCCGACTTCTTAAAAAGAGAGAGTACAAAGGGCAGAGTAAGACACACAAAATCCACACAGACACACAGCAAATGAAACAAACGTAAGCAGTGTAAGAACACACTAACAGCAACCTGCTGTTACACACTGGCAAGATGTGCTCAAGGTCCCCCAACATTTTACCTTTACTCCAGTTCAGTTTGAAAAGCAGTGGCAGACTTTTATTAGCACCATTAACAGCACAGTGACACTCCAGGCTTGAGGAGAGGAGTCCGTTTCTGTTATTTTTTTCACGAGCCATTATTCAAAGTGGGAAAAATAAGGATTTTAAGAACATTAGCTTATATTTCTGACTCTTCTATAGGTATAGGTGTCACTACCCAATCTTTAGAGAAAATGTCTTTTACGTTACTTTCATGTCAATATCAACATTTAAAAAAAAACAAAAAACCTTGATATCTTTGCTTGGTTCTACAAAGTACTTCGGACTATTGGCTAATTTTTTTTCTATTAAAAGAAAAAGAAATACTAATGTTGTGTATGTTCTTTTTCTTTTTAAAAAAATGCAAAAATACATAAAATCATGAATTAAAGCCATATGTTGTTATTAATATATACATTTATCACTAATAAAATACATACACAACTTTTTGTGAACCACTAAAATAATAGTAATAATAATAATAATAATAATGGTAATAAAAAAAAATTCCCCAATTTGATAAATAATTGTGCATATTTTTAACTGAATTCGTTTTATATAACAAATTCAGTTTTTTTTAACATTGTCATTCATGGATTACAAACTACATAAAAAAAATCAGCAACCACAGTCCTTACCTTTTAACAGTTTATGTACAGTGAATGTAATAATATATTTAATCTTTTATATATTACATTTTTACTGTATTAAGAAAAATTTAATCCTGCATTGAAATTTCTAAAATATAAATTGAAATTTCAATTTAAGTTAATAATTTGTTGTAAGCTGATTTACGTACTGTAAGCTATTTTATCTAGAGCAGTCACATACTGCATAACGTTTATAGACTTTTATAGTGAAAGGAATGTACAAAAAACAAATGAGGCTTGGACGAATTCATCGTAGAAAGACCCACTGGCTTGTAGATGTGGGTTTTAAAACCTAATTTTGGTATTCTGGTTATTTGAGATAAGACATTACGAGGGTCAGGTGGCCCTAACCAAGACCAGCGCTGAAGTTATGGTCACAGTGAGATAATTACAGACAAAATTATTTCACAAGAGTCGCCCCCTGTTGGCCATTTAAATGAATGCAGGTTTAAGGTAATTTAGCTTCATCTTCAATTTCCAGACCCAGAAAATAATCTTTACTGCTGTGGGGCTGGGAAAAACACACAAACACACACAAAAAAACCCATAAAAAACAAATCTCTAAGGTAAAAGAATGAATTAAAAGCGCAGAGTAATTTATCACACAGTGACTGGCAAAAAAAAAGCAAACACTCAAGATGCCAAAGTGCGATTTGCCTTCAATAAATAACACTGCTGTGGTGCCCTTGCTCTTGCAACAGACAAACTACTCATTATGAGTAATAATATGACAACTAATAATGGAGTGGTCTCATCTCCAGTCAATGAGTTCACTCTTAAATGTCACACTGAGCAATACTCAGAACTACTCCCTCACTCCCACAAACACACACACACAAAAGGAAAAGAAAAGAAAAAAACCAAAAAACAAAACAACAACGATTCACCCTCATTTTTCATGGGTTAGTAGCTCTGAATGTTCTGCTTGGAAAGCCCCACCACAAGATCAGCTTCTTACATGAACTATCATGCTGAGACAAGCAAGACATCCTTTTTCAAGATGCCACGAGAGTTAAAACTCCAAGAAAAATTAAGGTTCTAAACAGAGGAACTTTATTTATTACACACAAAATACATTTTTAATGGTCATTGTCAGGGAACTTTAAACAGCTGTGTAAAACAATTAATGTCCGGTAGTCTTTTAACAGCACGTTTTTCACAGAAAAGGAAACAGTATGACATCATTTTACGTTACACATTTTACAATCACCAAATAACCAATAGTTATAAAGCACTACAAATTTTAAACCATTCGGGCAAAGCATTAAAGCCTTGAATAAATACTCCTGCCTAACACTGCTGAACTCAGGACCAGGATAGGGAAGTTTCCCAAAAGAGTGATGAACTGTAATCAGATCATCAGTCTCATTCAGTTTACCTATGAGTGGCTTTAAGGTATGGCTGAGCAGAGAGACAAGCATTGGGACTGAGGCATTTAAATGTGTTATCAACGGAATCATACTCAGCCACAATCCCGGTAGATCAGCTGATTTCAATGCCAGCAAGCATACAGTTGGTGGGCCAGATCGTGGCTTGGTATCACACCTCCAACCACATCGCTCTATCAAGACAATAATCATAATATAGCGAGAATGAGGAGGTCCCAGGCAGGAGCTGAGCCATGCCATCAAATATAGATTTCCGTAGACAAAAATAGCAATATTCCTTTAAGTAAGGTGGTCCTCACTGAAATGATGCTAAAAATATCAATCCAATTAATCAAAAAGAAACAACCCCAGGACGTGAAGGATACTAAGAAGACTTCATGAGTGTTTATTAACCGGCATGTTTAAGTAGTACCATGTCTGAGGTGAGGCGGACACTGTACCGGTCTGTTCTGCTGAATAGAGAGCATTTAGAAGAAGATGTGAATTTACTGTCTGATTGATCCTCAGCTGTGCCCACAGGCTGTGGGTACCGAACTAAAGAGTGAGATGCAAGCAGCAAACAAGCTTCTAGGTCTGGGCTCAGCCTCAGAGATAGGGTGAGGTTTGTGAGGTGGTTCCCAAAATGATCTGTCGTTTTCCAACACAATATGCATTCACAAGAGTAACGCAAGGTAGAAATTCTTTTCACACCATGTCTAAGCTTGAAGATTGGCAAAAGAACACTGATGGAATAGTCCCTTCTCGTCCCAGAAAGAGGTTTGCCATCATATCCGAATAAATTTCTTTAACCATCTGTACCCCATAACAGCCATAGCCAACTGGCGTGATGCTACGACTGTTGGTGTATAAAAACAGTTTTGTACACACTACATTTTAACATATTTTAGGACACTCAAGCCTTAGCTGGCATAATCTGTTTTGGTTATAGCCGACTTGTTGTCAGCTCTCTGGAGACGGGAGTGTTGCATGACTGACAATGATAAATAAATAGAATAAATGGAGAATAAGTGATCATTTTAATGCACATTTTATTGTTTTAGAGCCCCGACTTGAGTTCAAGAGGAGGATGAGGTGTAGATGAGGGAGGATAGAGCAGTGGTGGAGGAGGCCGATGAAGAGTAGGAGGCAAAACAGAAAAGAGATGATGAGAATAACATTATGAAATGTGCAACTGTACAAATCTTAATTGGTCAAATATAATTTTAAAGAGCTACTTGTGATCTGTAAATCAAAACTAACTTATAACTGAGACTTTACATAACTTTTTTTAGCTGTAATCAGGTGTTTAGAATTTGTAATCAGATTTCTCTTTCTTTCAGAATTCCCAGCAATCTGGAATATTCCAATAGAAACATACCAGGGTATAGAGGATTGAATGGACTGAATGGAGAATGGGTGGATGGACAGATTTATGGATGGGTGGGTGGATGGTAATCCATGATTATGAAGCATGCCATGGAGGTCTTTACTTCCTTTTCAAACACTCTTTGTTAAGCGTGTAATAGGAGAGAGGAGGTATTTTCTGCAGCATTTGCCTTACATGAGGTAAAAACCTCAGCTGCTTCCTTCAGACAGCCTGGTTGTACCTTCATGACTGAGATTAAATCGAGCTGATCCCGCTGAAAACAGGTAGGAATGTGTTTACTTACGTCAGCCACGACTTGTCAAAGCGATCTCAGATTCCTCTGAGGTCGGCATATCCTCTTGGACATTTATCGAACACAAATCACCACAGAGAGATTATTTCTTGCTGCAGCTCAATCTTGACAGCGTCTTAATGTGTTTTTATACGTGCACTATAATTACCTTCCATCAGTGGAAATGTACAAAGATGTCATTATATTAGTGTAGTGAATTAAAGGCGGTTTCTCAGCTCTGTATAGCAGGTGCTGTTTTTTTTGTAAAAGCTGAATAGATGGACAAAAGGTCAACAACAGCTCTCATTTAGACTCTTTCTTTGCAGCCCAGCATGCTTGTAGTCAACGACACTTCAGAACACACTTCCTTCTCTGTTTTTGGAGTAATTAATTCTCTGCTTTGTGGACATGTTTCACCTGAATGAGAGTGTGGCATCCTGTTTAAAATAATGCTTTGTTTTAGCATTTACAACAGAATACGAAACGCTCTTTTTGCAGAACACTGGGACCACCTGCTCTGCAAATGAAGCACAAATGATGTGTTTCAATGAGTGGTTCATGTGTGGCACTAAAAATCACAACCTGGTACTACACTGAAATTTTGTATTACCTGCTCCTGATGCCACATTTTAGAGTCATCATGTTTTTGCTTTTTGTTTTTGTCTCATTAACGTAGCACCAGCAATAACAGGCCTTTTTATTCTGCAGCTGCATTAAAGAGACAAAACTCTGCTGCATGAAAAAGCTTTTAAGAATCAGATGTGTTTCGGGCAGCATTATTAGGTGCTGATATAAGAGTCTCTGGTCATGGTTGGTTCAGGCTGATTAACTCTGCAATTGTCACATTTTCCACACATGCATCGACAGTTGCTTGTTGTACACAGCGAAACCTACAGAAAACCTACAGAAGTTCAAATAAAAGTCTATTTTTGCAGACAAACTACTGACTTAGTCTAGCACGATGTTGATCGCAGCCGTCTTACATTCTGTCGCAGGGTTGAGTCTAAAGGGGGTGGGGGGGGTGGGAATGGGGTGTACAAGACCACAACCAAGCCAGTTAGCAATAGCTGATAAATTGGCACATCAACCTTTGGTTAATATAAGGTAACGTCTGGCTCCAAAACACCAACATGACAGAGGCCAAAACAATAAATGTCACCAGCTGCACTCCCAGATGGCAGAGTTGGAGGTCATCTGAACTTTGCAAGTGAATCAGATGAATGATAACGAGAACAGCCACAACACTGACCTGGCCACTGAGTCGGCTGGTAGACGATAAAGACCTCCCCAATAGCTAATCATACTACACAACCGTAATGAATTGATAAACAGACAACTTCCTGTTTTTTCATTAACTACTATGAAACTTTAAGGGACAATCTGAGTAAAGAGCTACCAGAACTTTTTCTGTATTTTTTGCACATTTATTTCTGACAATTCAAACCCAAACAGTTGCGCTGATCACAGTGTTTCTTTACTATGCAGAAAAAAGTTACTGCTGAAGGTTCACTTCTTTTTCTTATATTAAGATATCAAGGGGACTAAATGTGTAGTTAAATGTCTTCACTATAACAGAAAGGGGAGTTTCTCTGGTCTGGCCCACTTAAGACCAAAGTGGGCTGTATGTGGGCCACGATATAAAATTAATTTAAGATGCCATTATGTCCATTTTTTTAATCAATGCAAAATGAAAAGATTTTTAAAAATGCATTAATTAGCATTAGTTTTAATTTTCAGTCTTAAAAAGTTTCACTGAATGATTCACAGATGCTGCTAAAGGATAAAATTCTTAATAACGTGTGACAAAATCATTTTCGAAGAGGGACCCAAAACTACTTCTACTTGGTTTGTATTCAGAAGGACACAAATATAAATACAAATAACAAAGCTGAGCAACATTAATAAGTCTCAGTTTTTGCATACCAAAAACACTAAATGTCTAGGGGGAATAACGCCTGAACCAAATGCTTATGAGTGAATAAGACAAATATGAAACCTTCCTTTAAAAATACAAATATATACCAAAGCCTGAAGATGATGTACTTGAAAAGATTTCTGGACCTTTACTGAGTTTTTTGGAGGATTTGAATCTAACAGTAAGTCAGTCAGACTAGTTAGTTGTTCCATACAAACCATACATGTTTTGTTGCATTGTCTTTTTTTCTGAAGTTTGCTTCTCTTTTTTTGAGGATCTGGGTACTGTGTTGATTACAAGGAGCAAAATCTTGTTGGGATTCTTTTTAGTCCAGTTATTTAATGTTCATAAGACTGATTTACCCTTACTTAAAAGAAATAAATATATATATTCTAGAAAAAATGTCTTTTAGTGTATCTGACATGCTAACATAGGATTTGTATAAGGACTATAGATTACTCACAGCTGTCTTTAGCACGCAGGTGTCCTCTCCGAGATAACAGAGCTCTCCTGAGCAGCTTGTCTCCATCCACAGGTGATCCCCGTTCAATGCGTTCTCCTACGGAGAAGCAGACAAGAGGGAGAAAATGAGTGGGGAATTAATCATAAAATTAGTCAACATTGTCTCACTCTATTTTCACTCACATTTAACTGCAACCATATGGACATGAGCACATGGCGGCGAATGAGGTCAACAAGTGTGTCAAGCACATAACTGCCACTGCTGAGTAGGTGGGTAACTTCACAGTGCATGTTAATTTAAACACTACTGATTCATGTGCAAACACACTCCTACATGGAGTAACACATGTCAGTGTATATGCGTACAAAGACATTCAAGGTAAATGCATGCAGGCTAAATGTTTGAGTAAAATTGTGTCACGGGGTTTACTGCACAGCTGTGATCACACTCCCTCAGCTCAGATGTGAATAGTTTTGCTTGCTCATTCATTCAGTAATGGAAAAATGGATTGGAAGATCTTTTGTTTCATTTGCTAATTATATAATTAACTTGTATTTGTTTAATTATCTTAATTTTGCACTTTTCTTCTCTCTTTTGTGCTTTTTTTGCAACATAAGAAAAAGCCTCATTGTATTTGCTAATACCAGTATGTTGTATGTATATGACAACTTTAACTTAATTTATCAGCTTGGCAACTATCTTACAAAATAAAAGTAAATAATTACTTTTTACTGGTTCACACTAGTTTCAAATATAAAATATATGGAATTTAATAATGTATAGGTCTGGATGTGGCTTTGTATGTGTATGTCTATCTGGGACAACGCCTGGCTGAAATGGGAGGGTAATAAGATGACTCGGCTCAGTAGGACTTTGAGAATATAAAAGCTGGCCCAGAAAACAGGGAAGTAATAATAATAATTAATAGGGCAAATCTCTGGCGTGGGGTCCCTCCATGTCAACATAAATGGGCGATCGTGGCTCGAGAGTTGGGAGTTCGCCTTGTAATCGGAAGGTTGCCGGTTCGAGCCCGGCTCGGTCGTTGTGTCCTTGGGCAAGACACTTCACCTACCGCCTACTGGTGTTGGCCAGAAGGGCCGATGGCGCTCTACCAGTGTGGCTGCTCTACCAGGTGTAACAATTGAGTTTAACATCCAGGCATCCATGAAAACGGAATTTAACGGAGTTAGAAGTTAGCAGGGAGTTAGCTCGCTAGCTTCCATCTAAATACAATATAGCATGTCCTGACTGCGGGGTTTTGGAAACAAATTAAGATGTACAGCTCTGCTATCACTTCCGACATAAATGAAGACATAAAACTAAACAACAGTGACGTTTGTAGGGTTACTGAAGTTTGGATTGACCTGGTATATAACGATGTGCTACGTGATCGCTAGCGACACAGCTATGTTAGCATAATAAACACAGTGAAGCTGGAGGATGAACACTAACTTTTTTCCACTCGATAAAATTTAACGTGAGGATTCCCGGTGGTCAGGGACAAGTGCAATTGCATGGTAGGATGCTGTAAACGGACCGAACTTCAGTCAGGAGAACAACTGACATAATCCATCCACAATACGAAGTTATCATTCATATACTGCTGCATGGGCTGGGCTGTGGTTACATGGTAACGTTTTAAAAACTGAGCTTTAAAATGAGTAGCGGTATGAAAAACCGACAGTGATCACTGACTGTTTTTAGGGGCTTTTTGAGATTAAATAGAACAAGATACAAAGTATTAAAACATGTTAAAAACACAAAAGCCTTATTAAACGCAGAGTAGTTTGGGCCTGGAAGCAGGATTCGTCACGTCATCACTTAAAGACTGGATTGCCTGCAAATGCCCAAAAATCTTTAAAAGCACTTTAAAATAACAATTTAATTAAAAAGAATCAGTCACTTAAATTTTTTTTAACCTCAACCAACTTTCTAGGGTTTACTGTGAGGAGCAGACATTCTGACGTTCCTGCATCTTTTATGAAGTAATTAATGTGGGTTTTGTTGTCATATTGCAGCACTTTTTTCAGAAAGTCACAATAATTAGTGACAAACTAGACAAAGAACTTGACAGAGATAAGACATGGCCAAATCTGTTCCCAATTTCTCTCCGTTTGTCACTTACAAGCAGAATTGCTTCCCCCGCAACTCAATGTTCCACAGTAAATCAATTTGAATGGACATTTGTTTAAATTTCCACTTCCTGTTACACATCTTCTACCAGTGTTCTGGCCCTGCTGGGAATATGGACAAACCCGTTTGGACTTATTAGCACCTAAAAGCAGACCTTAAAGGTCTCAGTGAATCAACCCCTGAGTGTATATTAATGAGTGTCTGAGCACAGTGATAATATATGAGTGAGTGCATGAGAGCCGTGCAGAGAGATAAAGGGCAGCAATGACGTACTGGAAGTGTCCCTACAGACGGAGCCCGAGGGAAATCTCAGATGTGAGCCCACAACAGTTTATCTACTTACACCTTCCTATTAATAATAAAGCATTGCATTTACTTTTCATTATTGATGCATGAATCATTTAGAGCACGGCTGTCAAACAAATGGAGCGTGGGACAGAAATGGCCCGCCAAAGGGTTCGATCCGGCCCGTGTGATGGCTTTGCAAATGTGAAAAATGGGGAAAGGGGAAATCTTAAATGTTGAAATTACATAAGAAATTAAGGTGTTTTTGAAATGTTTTGTATCACTGCAGATAAGTTTTTTGTTTTACAGTAGGTTCACAGTACAAATATATAAATACATAAAATACAATAAAATATAATAACTAATGGAGGTAGTGGTACTAACACTAAAGGACAGAGGGTGTTTTTTTTTAAATATATTTTTACACAACCTTTTCAGAGGTTCACCCCATTTAACTCTTTCCCCCATAAAACCAACATATGACGACCTCCCCCGTATCCTTAATGACATGTTTGGACACCTCAGTATACATAGTTTGACAGCCATTAACATAGAGTACCCTCACAAAGCCTTTATGTGGCTGGCAAATTTTCAATAGATACGACTAATTCTATGAAATGCACCTTTTCACCTTTACATATTCTTCTTGAGTTTGAAGCACTTTGATGTCTTTTCCTTGAATTTTGGAGGCTCGTGTGAAAACGCTCTATTATTTTCTTTTCTTTGTCATAGTTTTTTTTTTGAATGGCTTTATTGTACTGGCCATAATCATAAAAAAAATCTGTTTCAAGTCTGCAAAGTTTTTGCACAAAAGAGTTTATGTAAGTAAAAAGAAAAAAAAACTTCAAATGATTCATATGATTTTACAGCTTGGACCCAGAGTAATCTGATTGTATTAAATAAAACTAAATGGCAATGGAAGATTTGAAAGAAAGAAGGTGATAAACAATTTGAAAGAAAAACAACATGGAAAAGATTTTAAATTATTTCATGATTATAAAAAAATAATCTCCCTGCTTCAGTAATACTATTCAAAACTGTCTCATTGGTCTTTTTGCTTTCAGATTAGGTTCAATTCACATTGTCATCCTGGTGTATCATCAAAAAAACTGCTTCATTTATTTTTATCATTTTTTTAATGCATCTTTGACTGTTTTTGACGATTGTTCACTTGCTGTGCCACACACTGCACAATCTGGTGAATATTGCAGATTCATTGTTTTAATACCTGCTTTCACCAGATCACAAGCTCAGGTTTGGAGTGGCGCAACTGCAGACAGGAAGACGGGACTTTTTAAAAATACATTTATCGGGTTCTTTAACAGCAATTTTGAGAATGCTTTCCAATGCATGTTGACATTTCCTTAAGCATTAGCACTACATTTAAAACCCAAAGTGTTTTTAAACTGGTGCTTTTGAGTCGTGATTCATGTTTCTTAAATATAACTTATTAAATGTCGAATAATAAATCGCGTCACAAAGTCGTGACACATAAAAGTTTCTTTCCCACGCTGAGATTGAACGGCATTTGTCTTGTAAGGAATTAAAAAAAGGAAGGAAAATCAAATTACTGCTTTCCATTTCCACATGAACATACGGCTGTTGAAACCAGTCTGCTAACAAATCTGTTTGGCATAAAAATGCAAATGTCGACAAGTGAATCAGCCAGACAGAATAGGGACTCAGACTGGGACCAGGAAAAAAAAATGTCATCATTGTTCAGATTCACAGTTATATAAAATAAATGTGCATTTCTGACCGTCCAGTCCACGCAGGTACGTAGTTCCTTGGTGGGGCCGTTGGACGCAGGAGGAAGCGAGGGCTGAGGTGGGCCGAGGTAATGGAGGCCTGAGCGGGAGATCGCTTTCCTAAGAAACGGAAGGAAACACACTGTTATCATTGTCAAGATACTTCATAGTTCTCGGACTTTTCAGTATAATTTATTACATTATTCATATTAGGAGACTGCTTTCGAGCGGGCTCAGCTGGAGATATTTGAGGTGAACCAGGAACAGCTTGGCAGAGAGACTGCCAGAGCCACTTTGGGGTGACGAGACAAGTCGCAGACAGATCTGTTATGTCAGAGGATGAGTCAGCAGTCATCTCTCGCAGACACTCGCCCCATTATACTTCCTGTTGCAGTTTTCTTAAACTGACTCAAGTACATCTTTATCCACTTCAATTGTCCCCGACTCTTTTATCTCATAGCTCATCTATCTTCTTCTGCAAGTACACAGTACAGTCACCCACATGAGAGGGCCCCCATCAGAGCATCATCTGTCTACATGCCCATCTATTAACTGCTGATCTACACAGACACCTCTGCAGTCTCACTGGCTTCAGTCAATGCAAGAGAAAGCAAAAAATAAATAAGTAAAAAATAAATTAAAGTGAAAATATCAAATGAGTGCTCTCCTTCAAGTTAAATCTGTGGATTTGTCTTTTTAAGAGACGGGACAACCGGCCTGTTTGAACAACAGTGAATACCCTAACGTGTCTATTAAAGATAAAGACAAAGTGTCACCTTTATTTGCAAACCACACCCACAGAGTGTTGTTTGGCATGGCTTTTTATAGGCACACCAAGGGACTCTTTAAAGTGTTATGACCGGGGCTTTTAAATTCACACTAAGTTGGTAAAAATGAGAGAAGTTAATCATTTGGCATGAACAAGAAGTATTAGTAAAGGAGATGGAGATGCCACAAAATTTGTTTGACAAGATTAACTTAACTTCACAAAAGTGATGTAGTTACTGAACTCTATGCTTTAATGTGTATTTCCCACCCAGTTGGCAGGTGGTTACCTGCTAACAGAAGAGAGAGAACTGTCACTGTGGCTAAACCTGAACCAAACCACATATGAGTCTGGGCTTTTAGGAAAGGGCAAAAGAGAGAGTACTGCTGTAAAGGGAAAGGGTGTTGTGGCGGAGGTGTGGTCCCGGGCGCGGCTGCAGGGGAGGGGTGGTGCGGTGAGCTCAACGGGGCGGTGCTGGAAACGCAGGTGAAAACAGCTGATGGCGTTTTGGACTGATGATGCTTTCCTTACCCTTTATAGTGAGACGGGAGAGGAGCGGAAGGGGGCCGAGAGATCAGCTGTGTCCGACAGCTGTTAGACTGTGGTCGGTCATCACGTACAACACGAAATAAAGCTGGTGTCTGAAAACAAAGTCCTGTGCCTGTGTGTAGTGCATTCCACAGGTGTGCTCCAACACAACGGCAAAAAGAAAAGAAAAAAAGAGAGCTTTGTAGCTCAAAGGAACGCAAAACAGTTGCACACTGATAACTCACTGCTTAATTTATGATTAAACTATTTATTTATAACTATTCATTATATTAAAATATGCT